GCTAACGGGTCCGAATAGGACGAAACGGCCGTCTAGTGTTTTCCCGGATGTGTGCTGGGTGTCTGGTTTAGATAAGAAAAGCACGATGAACCACCGTACTACTCTAACTTCCTGGATGACCAGACCTTGGAAGAATTGTCATATTGACCTCACTTGGAGTCTTAGACGACATTGACCTAACCTGCTAAGCAACGGAGCGAACCGTTGGGACCAGGTTACCACTCAGTGCTCAGTGGGCACTTACATGTCTGTGAGAATATTTGTAGCCCGGGATGCGGATGAGGGTATGCGGGTGTTCTCCGAGCTGGCTGATTTGGTTGCAAACGTTTCATCGTCAGACTAGACGACGTCATCAGTGCGGTTTATGCGGGTCACTTGCAGATCCAAGTGATTATTGATCACTTGATTCGAACGTCAGGAGTCGATTGGTCCACGTGAACTGACCGTGTAGTCAGCCCTCCCATACTGTTGGCTAGAGTCCGCCTCAATGATGTTCCTTCGTCCAGTTGATCTGGGGCGGACTATTCTTTTGACCCTCAGTGTCTCATAGGCAGTGTCTAGAGCTAAGTGTCTGTTGATTGAGTTCTCTCCCGAGTACCAAGCCTCGATGAACTCGCGTGCTTTTCGACTTTTTGCTCTCCAAATCAAATTGATGATTCTCGACGTCCATATGTACCAACATCAAAGAGTTCTGATCATGTTGGCGGATGGCTAGGCTATGCTCATGTAGCCTAGTGCCGAGCTTTCTTCCTGTCTGGCCCACATAGTATTTGTTACAATTTTTGCAGTGGATTTTGCATATCACACCACTTGTTTCTTCTATGCCAAGCCGGTCCTTGCCATTGAAAAGGTTGTCTCTGATGGTTTCCGTCGGCTTGTGAGCAACTCTGATTCCGAAAGGTCGTAGGAGTCTCGCCGCCATCTCAGAGATGCCGTTGATGTATGGTAGAGTAATTGTCCTTTTATCCGTCTCTGATGTTTGTTCTTGTGTCGGTCGTTGTATTGGTGTTAAACAACGTAGAATGAAATTTCTAGGATACCCATTCCGTGCAAACATTTAGAACAGATGATCTTCCTCCGCTTTTATCAGCTGTGGGGTGCTGCAATGGGTCTGTGCTCTTTTAAATAGAGTTGTTACGCAGCTGCGCTTGTAGACTGTTGGATGATTGCTGCGATAATTCAAGATTTGGTCTGTATGTGTCGTTTTCCGACAAACTGTTGTCTCCAGTTGTCCAGCAGCATGTCTTTTAACTAAAACATCCAAGAATGGTAACTGACAATTGCTCCCTTCTTTTTTAGTGAAACGGATACCAGCAAACGTGTTGTTTATTAGCTGATGTGTTTCTTTCACTTTTGAGCGCTTTAGGATGACAAAAGTATCGTCCACGTAGCGTAGCCAGAGTTTAGGTTTTGCGATCGGGAGTGCGGTTTCTTCCAATGGGTATACACATACTGCGAAAGAGGCGGCCAATGCATTACGGGCCCAGTACTCCCCAATCTTCCAAGGTGTACAAGCCTCGACGTATATTCCGCCACTAGTTACCCCACCGTCCGTTTTATCCAACGTCACGTTCACTGCAGAAATGGTGCTGCAAAAGCTGCTATCCTTGCGTCCACACAGCTCTCCCGGGGCCGATAACATTCACCCGAAAACATTACAGGTAGCTGCCATCCACTTGGCCGAACCACTAGCTGCATTTTTTCAGCGCTTTTTCGATGAGAACATCGTACCTTCGAGGTGGAAACAAGGTGTAATAACGCCCATATACAAAGCAGGAAGTCGATCGGATCCTGCCAATTACCGCCCCGTAACGCTTCTGCCTGTGATCGCCAAAGTCATGGAAGCGGTGATAGCAGATGTGTTAATGGGATACTTGGAAAACTACGGCATAATTGCGCCAGAACAGCATGGGTTTCGTCAACATCGTTCATGTACGACGAATCTGCTGATAGCTCGTGACAACTGGACCGAGACTGTCGATGAGGGAACAGGAGTCGATGTTGCATTCTTGGACTTTTCGAAAGCCTTCGATCGCCTGGATCATCGAATCCTGCTCATTAAACTCCAACAGTACGGTATCGGAGACCCGTTGTTAGGATGGATCGGTAACTTTCTCTCTGAACGGCAGTTAGTAGTTAGAGTTCGATCATCCTTTTCCGATCCGATTCGAGTGGGATGCGGCGTACCGCAGGGTTCGGTACTTGGGCCTCGTTTGTTCCTGCTTTTCATTAACGATCTAGTAAGAGTTATTACGTCGAAATTTTTACTCTTCGCGGACGACCTCAAGGTTTGGCGGGCGATAAAACGATCGGACGACCATGAAGTCCTACAGCGTGACTTGAATGAGGCCTGGAATTGGTCGGTGAGAAACGCCCTGCCGTTTAATGTGGACAAATGTCGCGTTGTTCATATCCGCCATCGACAAGTCCACGTCTACAAGCTTGAGGCACACGATCTGAAGACCACCACTCAGGAACGCGACTTGGATGTGCTGGTACAGGAAGACCTCGGGTGTTCCAAACAGTCAGATTCCGCTTCTAAAAGGGGCAACCAGCACGTTGGACTCCTGCGAAGTGCATTCGGAATTTTGGATCCATCCATCTTCTCTTTGATGCTGAATGCCTACATGCGTCCTCACGTCGAATATGCAATCCAGGCCTGGCAATCCTGGCTAAAACGTGACATTGCAGCGCTTGAGACCCCACAGCGTCGAGCAACGAAAATCGTCAAGGGCTTGCGCCAGACTCCTTACCAGGAACGACTGGAGATACTCGGAGTGTTCAGCGGACGGTACCGGCGACTTCGTGGAGACCTCATACTAGTGTACCAGATATTGAGCGATCCCAGTCACGTATGCCGCCACCTCTTGAAGCTCAGCCCGAACACTAACCTTCGCGGTAACAGTTTAAAGCTGGGCCAACAGTACAGTCGTCTAGACTGTCGGAGAACCTATTTCTCCCTCCGGGTCTGCGGGCCCTAGAACGCCCTTCCAAACTCAGTAGTTTGTGCCCCCACATTAGATACGTTTAAAAAACGATTGGACGTCGCACTGAGCGCCCTGCGCTTTGTTTTATGAACGAAAACGCTTGTATATATTTAGGCTGACCAGCCTCTTTGGATTTATACCCCAAATTCACGGTCGTAAATCTGTGCGAACCGGTGAGTACTCCATTTTTATTTGCTACCATCACCAACGATAACAATTTCTTAGCCAGTTTTGCGTCGTACCACTTTATCCCCCTAAAACTGTTATACTTCTACCTTTTATCTCACTGACACTCCTTACTTCAACCACTTATGTGGTTTGCCAATTTGTTAGTATTTCTATTGCCAACCTGCGGGACTCGTTAAGTGTATGCTTTTTTACCCGTCATATACCATTGTTCCATTGTTCCAATGCTTGCATCACTGTTTCGGCCACTAGTCCACCCGCATACCCTCACTTACATGTCTAATGAACGTTTACCAGGCCACCAGTCATAGTTGAAGATCGTTGGCAGCCACGCGGCTCATACGCCTTAATATTCAAATGGTTACTCCACACGAATACCGCCTAACTTATTTATCAGCCTTTCATTTTCTGTTTACCTCTCATTGCCTAAGTGGGCAGTCGGTGATCCTATGACCGGTAACATTGACTTCAACAGCATCGTACGACCTCTTATGATACTAACGGGAGAAACAAGCATCCAATCCAGGACATCCAGTGCTTTGAGAGGTTTCTGCTCACTGTTCGTAACGGATTATTCATCTCACCCCCATGAAGCGACTGACATATTCACAATTAACTAGGAAGGCATTCCTCAATGCGCAACTTTGGGGCGCGCTTAGTCTGACACGTCACTGCGGTCGTGGACAGTGACAACGTAAAATGGAATGTCTTGATGCACTGTACTTGTGGCGAATTCGGCGAAGTGTCCACCGTGTTTCTTCGTACGCCGAAGACTCGAATTCGTTTACCAACTATAAATTGCTCAGGTAAACCCGTCAGAGGTGTAAAAGCGTCAATCGAATGGGGCACATAAGCTTAGGAATGCGACTGCGATAGTCCGTACATACATATGGCGTTTTCCCAACATCACCACTACTCTTCGCTATCTTTAATTTATTTCGTCATTTGAGGTTCAGTGACTCGTTTCATCGCACTTCCGATTAAACTTGATCACTACACTTTCACAAAATCCATTCTAAAGCAGCACAACATGTTGCATAAATGCTTGTTTCACACTCCTCACCGAGTTACACTTGCCAACACACACTGACTAGTGTTCGATGCAGTCGCTAGTCGATTTTTACATGAGCGTCGCACAATGTCATTTCTGCAAGTAACTGCGGTTCAGCAGTAGAAGTTGTTTTGATTCATACCTGTGTCTGCCATCTCGTCGACAATTCCAGGACGTGTTCCGGTAACGTCAAACTTAAGTACCGGTTGTACTTAAATTATGTGAAAGCCATTAAGTTTATACCTCCTGTTGCATTAGGTCGAATTTGCAGTTAGCGGAGCGACCTTATCGTTTTCTCTGTACTCTTAGGAAATTCAGGCAAAAAATGTGCATTCACGCTTTGTTCCATTACCGTAATTCATCAAGAAGCTATTGTTGATACAGGATAGGCATGATTGATGCGGTCAATGCGGCGGTAGCCTTCCTCGTATGCTAGATCATCAGTTTTGCAAAATTGACTTAGAAATTGCAGTAACTTTCTCTTCACCCATATCGCGAACCACCGCTACCGCATATACAGGACGCTTTTCAATTATGCAATAAATGGAACGTCAGGAATGACTATATGCTGTCACAGATAGCTTCTCTAGTTCGTAGACGATGTCTTTCGAGATCTAATCAGAACCGAGAGACGAATTCGCAGCTACCAACGCTTCGGCCATCGTATGTATGTACATTTGGATCGACAATGAATCGCTGAAACTCGTAGCCACAAGCATTATCATTTTTCTCTGCGATGGCTTAACAGGTTGCTAATATCCGTACTGTTTTGATAGGTACGGATTAACCCGCGAGCAGCAAGATTCTTTCGCGCTGGAATCCCAGCAGAAGTACGAGTCTGCCTTCTCGAAGGGATTGTTTTCATCCGAGATCGTTCCTATAATAGTAAGTCATGTCGCAGCCACACCGATACTTATACCGCCAAAGCTCGTTTTGGTACATTTATATTATGTATAAGTTGTGTTCTCGTTTTTGGTGAGATGCGTCTTTGACGGTATGTTCTGATAAATAAACCATTTTCTAGTTCAATGACCACGAATGGTCGAAAAATGTCAACAGTAAGGAAAGTCGTTTTTCAATTTTGACAGGGCATCAAAGTTGCTTGTTGTTTCAGTTTGTTACCTGATGTTATACAGAATGTTTATGACGGGTTTGATAGGTCTCTTGAGAATATTAATGCGGAAATGTATAAAGTATATGCCAATTTTCTCTTAGCACATTTGATGGCTGCTTTGTTCATGGCTACTTAGCAGCATCGAATTCTGCTATCGGCACTTACATGAAGCCGAAGCAAGAGGAGCACCTGTAATAGATAGACGTAAGAGTAAATTGCAATAGAAGTAGTAGGAATCTTGAAAACGAAGACGGGGAATGTGGAGGTGTATTTGAATGACATCCTCGCTCACAACACACTTGTTGGTGATAACTTTGTCGTTAGCATAGGTAAGAAGGAGGAAGAAAGATGAGGACTGTGAGTATAGGGACATTACTATTACAATATTCGCTCTCTACTGCGTAATGGTTTCCGAATCATATAAATCCTGGACCTTGTTCGTATGCTTGGCTGTTCATTATGTGATATCCCAATAGATGGATCACATTTTGCACATTCAAGTATTTGCTGGTCCTTTTTTGGAATTTCTGCTCTGAATTGCTAACATGGATATCGGTTGGCAGTTTGTTCCAAATGCTGGCGGTCTTCGACCTGCATTCCACTACCGAATGTTCCTTATTTCGTGTGTTGTATGATGGTGATCGTATTATTGCCATGTTAAGGTTGGAAACATGCATTTTCTTGTGCGATGTTATAGAATATCAATAGGTTGAACCGGGTGTTGCCCGCCCGAAAACACTGCACTGGGCGGGCAACACCCAATTTCCATCTGCTTCGGCTACGGTCCTACTGATCGCAGTGACCTAGGTGCACTTCAATGTGAATCGCGGTCCACAATGAGATTGCGCGTCGCAATCCAATCACACATGTAATCCAAAAATGACCCTCCAATTAATCATTAGGTTGTGTTTCATTCGCCTCAAGCTTGATCAAGCTTGAGTTTCTCACATCTCGGAATGTTCTAATTTCGATGATGTTCCTTGTTTTGTGAATGTTCGTTGTACATTTTCTAATATAATGCGATATCGTTTGTTTGCGCTACTGTACACCATCGAGCAGTACTTCAAGAGGACGTGAAAGTGATGAATAAGCGCAGATTTAGAGGGTCGCCTGTACCGGTAGCCCAGAGAGCGATTCGAGAAGACAGATCGAGTTGCAGGGAAACTTTTATTGGTATAGTAAAAGATTCCCCGTTATCTAGCTATAAAAGAACGACACCGCGGACGCCCTAGCTAGGGGAACGGAGCAAGCACAGCACACAGGGCAGTTGCGAGTTGCAACCGAAATGAGTGCCAAGCAAAAATGGCGGTGAGCAAGTCAAGCATTCGAACTCAGCAATCAGTTCAACAAACCACACCGGTTGCCTAAGTGTACAATGAAATAATTTTAGTTAGAATTTTACATAGGCAAACCGGAGAATCTCCAGACTGGTACATAGCCCTCTCCCAAATTGGACTGTGTAAGCAATCCTTCGATCTACGTGAGGACTGTCCGTCGCGGGCCAGCCTTCTGCGAGACCAGGTTGCGAAACCTGATGCAGCTGCTGGGGGAGAACCATGCAATCGGACCCTAGCGGGCTCCCACCCGTGTCCTCCCTACGGTGTCGAAACGGTAAAATAACTGTTTGTGGGGGACAGTTCGTAAGATTACGTAGGCCATTGAGCAGGAAGTTCGTTCCATTTCCAGTTGACGTGCGGGGATCCAGCGAAAAGTGAAACCGAGGTGCAACCAACCGGCGGTGTATATGGAAAGCAAAATGAAAAAGCAGCATAAATGCATAGCCATACACAAAAGAGTGCAAAGCGAAAAAGGTGCAAAGCTGGTTTTGGGTTTTCAAAAGGTTTTGCTCTTTTTTGGTATTTTCAAAACGTTTTGATCTTTTTTGTGGATTTTCAACAACATTTGGCAAGAGTAGGAAATTTCAAAGGCACGTTTGTTTGCGCTACTGTACACCATCGAGCAGTACTTCAAGAGGACGTGAAAGTGATGAATAAGCGCAGATTTAGAGGGTCGCCTGTACCGGTAGCCCAGAGAGCGATTCGAGAAGACAGATCGAGTTGCAGGGAAACTTTTATTGGTATAGTAAAAGATTCCCCGTTATCTAGCTATAAAAGAACGACACCGCGGACGCCCTAGCTAGGGGAACGGAGCAAGCACAGCACACAGGGCAGTTGCGAGTTGCAACCGAAATGAGTGCCAAGCAAAAATGGCGGTGAGCAAGTCAAGCATTCGAACTCAGCAATCAGTTCAACAAACCACACCGGTTGCCTAAGTGTACAATGAAATAATTTTAGTAAGAATTTTACACAGGCAAACCGGGGAATCTCCAGACTGCTACATAGCCCTCTCCCAAAAGGGACTGTGTAAGCAATCCTTCGATCTACGTCAGGACTGTCCGTCGCCGGCCAGCCTTCTGCGATACCAGGTTGCGAAACCTGATGCAGCTGCTGGGGGAGAACCATGCAATCGGACCCTAGCGGGCTCCCACCCGTGTCCTCCCTACGGTGTCGAAACGGTAAAAAATCTGTTTGTGGGGGACAGTTCATGTATGCAGTTGAGCAGGAAGTTTGTTCCACTTCCAGTTGACGTGCGCAGATCCAGCGAAATGTGAAACCGAAGTGCAACCAACCGGCGGTGTATATGGAAAGCAAAATGAAAAAGCAGCATAAATGCATAGCCATACACAAAAGAGTGCAAAGCGAAAAAGGTGCAAAGCTGGTTTTGGGTTTTCAAAAGGTTTTGCTCTTTTTTGGTATTTTCAAAACGTTTTGATCTTTTTTGTGGATTTTCAACAACATTTGGCAAGAGTAGGAAATTTCAAAGGCACGTTCTATGTAAAATAGTGAGTGCTAATGAAGTCCGAAAAATGAACTGGGGGTTTGAACTTCCTACCGCGTCGATTGATAGTAGGGCGAGTAGGACTGCTGTCGGTTGAGGTTGTCGGTTCTGCTGGAGCGCACTGACTCGTCTGAGGTTGCGGTGCGAGCTGTGATGGCACAGGCTGTGAATGTGCTTGCTGCACCGAAGAGTCAGACTTGTCGAGGAAGGCTGGCTTGAGTCGATCGATGTTGATCGTCTCAGTGGTGTTGCGTCGTAGCTTGCTTATGTTGGGATCAGCTTGTTGGGCAGCAGCCATAGCGGCTAGATCAATGTTGGTGCCAGGCGATAAGCTGGTCTGCTGAATGCGTGAAAGTGCATCCGCGACGGGATTGAGAGCACCTGAGACATGTCGTACGTCTGTCGTAAAATGAGAAACGTAGTCTAAGTGTCTAGTTTCCCGCGGAGAATACTTGTCCGTTGCGCCATTGATTGCGTAGATCAATGGCTTGTGATCAGTGAAGACTGTAAAATGTCGACCTTCGAGATAGTGACGGAAATGTCTGATACCTAGGTAAATAGCTAACAGTTCCCTACCGAAGGTGCTGTAACGCGATTCGGCAGGTTGTAAACGTTTCGAGAATAAACCTAGAGGTATCCATCAATGGTCGATGAGTTGTTGAAGAACTGCACCGACGGCAGTGTCGGATGCTTTAGTTGTCAGGGAGAGTGGTGCAGATGTGTCTGGGTGGGCGAGAAGCACTATGTTGAAGATAGCGTCTTTGAGCTTCTCAAAAGACAGTCTAGCGTCGTCTGCAAAATGAAAAGACCATTGTTTACCGCGGAGCAAGTCAGTCATTGGTTGAACCATGCTCGCGCAGTTAGGAATAAATCGTTTATAATAGTTGGCCAGGCCAAGGAATCGGCGTAACTGTTTGAAGGAACTGGGAGCAGGATAGTCCTTCAGTGCCTGGATTTTGTCTGGCAGAGCTTCGATACCAGAGGCGGATATGCGGTGGCCAAGAAAGTCGATGGAGTTTCGGCCAGGCTCGCATTTATTGGGCTTGACGGTAACCTCATGCTGTGTTAAGCGTTTAAAGAGAGCGTCGAGGTGATGAAGATGTTCCTTGTCAGAAGAGCTGGCGATGAGAATGTCATCCAAATAAGGGTAAACGCCTTCGAGTCCTCGCGTTACCTCATGAATGAAACGCTGGAAAGTTTGGGCAGCGTTGCTGAGGCCATAAGGCATTCTGAGGTACTCGAATAGGCCGAATGGCGTGAAGACTGCTGTTTTAGCAATGTCCTCTGGCGCGACAGGTATCTGATGGTAAGCGCGACCTAGGTCGACTTTGCTAACGATAGACTTACCAGCTAGAGCTGAGGTCAAGTCGTGCATGTGCGGAATGGGGTATTTATCCGGGACGGTAACTTTATGAAGTGCCCTGTAGTCACCACAGGGGCGCCAGTCACCGGATTTCTTCGGTACCATGTGCAATGGTGATGCCCATGGACTTTTGGACGGGCGGATTATTCCCAGTTCGAGCATTTGCTCGAATTCCGCCTTAGCAGCTTTGAGCTTGTCCGGGGCTAGTCTGCAAGGGCGGGCCAAAACAGGTGGGCCCTTAGTGCAGATGTGATGCGTGACGTTTGACGTCACAGGAGGTAAGTCGTTCAGGGTGCGAACGAGTTTAGGATGCTTGTTGAAAAGTTCTATAAAAGGTTGTGAAACTTGAGGTAGGACAGGAATGGGAGTGATAGCAGCTACGTTGGCGCTAGTCCCGGTAACACTGAGCTGTATCCTAGAGTCGATAAGCTTCTTCCTTTTAGCGTCGACGATGAGGTGGAAGCGTTGAAGAAAGTCTATGCATATGATGGCGAAAGGCACGGCAGCGATTATGAAAGGCCGGCGAAAGGTTCGCCGGAGGCCTAAATTGAGCGTCAGCAGCTTTTCGCCGAAAGTTGCGATTGGTGTGACATTGGCGATGGTGAGACGACCTCATCTGAGCTACGGGGTATAACACTAACTTCGACGCCAGTGTCGACTAGAAACTCGGTGTCGGGAGTTAAATCCCTAACGCGGATGATGCGACTTTGGTGTTGGCCGGTCGCGTCTGTCGCCGTTACGGACCGGTCGAGAAGTTTCCCTGCTTCACGGCGAAGTTACAAGGCTTGACACATTTATGAGCTGCGGTACCAAAACGCTGGTGGTACCAACAGCTAGCTTGCCTGTTGCTCGACTTAGAACGTTTGCAAGGCGATTTTGAGCGGCTATGACGACGAGGATTCATAGCAAGCTGTTGAACCTGGCGACTAAGTGTCGCAACTTGTGTTTGCAGGGCTTCTGACCGTAAATCAGTGATAGAAGTGCCCTGGGACACGACGGCATTGATCTTGCTGGCGTCGGCTTGTGGCTGTGATCGCTCAATAACTCGATCCGCTAAATCTGCTAGTTGGGTGAGCGAAATGGAGCTCACTATAGCGAGAATCGCTTGCGCGTTTTCCTGTAGCTGCTGTAGCCATAATTCATGAAGTAGCGTCTCGTCCATGGTTGAGGAACCAAAGAGCTGCTGCATCTCTCGTAGCAGGGTTGAGGGCAGTTTGTCGCCCAGCTGCAGATCCCTGAAAAGCTGCTGCAGGCGAACTTTCTCAGAGGGTATAACACGCTTGATCGTGGGCTCCTTCAGAGCCTCATAGCGGTTTTCGGTCTGAGAAATGATAACGTCACGAACCTGCATTGATATCTCTTTGGGGAGATAGGACAGGAGCTTGCAATACTTTGCGTAGTCTGAAGTGATTCTGTGGTTGTAAAACTCAGCCTCAAGATGAGCGAACCACAAAAGAGGATCAAAGTCCCAAAAAGGTGGTACAGAGATACAACGCTTAGTAGAGACTCTACCTTATGGTCTACAGATTCCATGGCTTAAAAGAATGACGCAAAAAATAGGCTACCGTATGCAAAAATTAACAGCAAAATATGAAAAAATAAATGGAACGAGCTCACCAGAGAAAAGTTCGAAATATCCGGCGTTGTGATTGTTCCGGAGTCGGGGTCACCAATTTAGAGGGTCGCCTGTACCGGGAACCCAGAGAGCGATTCGAGAAGGCAGATCGAGTTGCAGGGAAACTTTTATTGGTATAGTAAAAGATTCCCCGTTATCTAGCTATAAAAGAACGACACCGCGGACGCCCTAGCTAGGGGAACGGAGCAAGCACAGCACACAGGGCAGTTGCGAGTTGCAACCGAAATGAGTGCCAAGCAAAAATGGCGGTGAGCAAGTCAAGCATTCGAACTCAGCAATCAGTTCAACAAACCACACCGGTTGCCTAAGTGTACAATGAAATAATTTTAGTAAGAATTTTACACAGGCAAACCGGGGAATCTCCAGACTGCTACACAGAGTACAGATCCCTTTACTTTGAAAGTTCCTAATAACATTCCAATGCTTTGCCTGGTCTTTGCAGTGACGTAGGCTACTTGTTCGGAGAAGTTGAGCGAGCATGAGTATTCCAGTCCAAGGTCACGAACAGTATGGCATATATTAATTTGCTTATGACAAATGGTTAAATTGCTTGATATTCTGTCGCATTTGTATGACATAGCGTAACATTTATCTGTCGTAAATAACATTCCCCAGTTTGAGTACCAGGTTCCGAGCGCGTGGATGTCGAGCTGGATCATATTGGTAGTTTATGGTAGCGGGGTTAAAAGTGTAGATACTTTTGATATCGTCGGAAAACACATATGATGTTCCGAACTTCACAGCGTCAAATATCTCGTTAACATACATCAAAAACAGTGTAAGACCAAGGACACTACCCTGTACTACACCACTTGTGACTGCTGTTGGTTCAGATTTGTGTTCCCGAATCTGTACCACCTGCGTTCGATTTGTATGATACGATTTGAACCACAAAAGTATGGGTTCCCTAATTCCATACCACATCAGTTTGCATATTAGATATCCATGCGGAACTTATGCATATCGAGGTAAATAACCTTCGTAGAATTGCCTTTATCCTGTGGGGCAATTAGATGAGGTAGAAATGCAAGTTGGCACGTTTTATACGTGTTGAGAATTATTGATTAACTTACGAGACATTAAGGAGGCGATCGTTGCAGTTTTATGTCTCTCCATCAATCTAGATAAGATAGAGATTTGATTTATCGGACGCTACTTCTTTGTTTCGAATATGGAGCCTGATTTGCGTCGTGGTGTGATAGTGTCTTCTTTCCTCTGTGTTGGTACAGTGCCAGAGTTCATGGATATGATGAACATATTCAAGAGAAGCGAGGGTATGTCGACACCCCCGAGTTTGATAAGTGCAGGAGGTACATTATCTAGTCTGCTGAATTAGGATAGTTTTGTATATTTTACAATCTTTTGTATATCACGGAGTTCAAACTTGACATGGGTGAGTTGAACAATTGTTGATGGTGATATATCCAATCTTGGGGGATCATTATCCACATTAAAGGAGACACAGAAATATTTATTAAAGATTTCACTGATGTGGGTCGGGTCAGTTATTATGTGGTTAGCTGCCGTAACCAGTGCGATCACGTCTGGAGTCTGTTTGGCATTCCTGCACTTTAAAATGTTAACTAGATCTCGAATTTGATGCTGGCTACAGAGGGTATTTTTCATTAACGATCTGTTTGTTATGAGGTGCCAGTTTTAGAGCTATAGTAAGCTTTTGGTGTTGTGCCAAGAAGGAAATCTCATTTGTCTCGCGATGTGCCGTTAGCAACTTTCTGAGCGTTATGGTTGTCCTACGTGACATATGCATTGTGTTACTGTGATGAAAGTGTCGATGCACAGTGGGAGCGACTGCATCAATACATTTGTAAATGTTGTTGTAGAGAACATCTGCAGCGGCTTGTAAGTCTACAGTAAGGAAAACACTGTCCCATTGAGCAGATCTCATTAATTTGGCGAACAGACCCCAGTTGACGGCTTTATAGTTCCTGGTATGTATTTAAATATTGGACACGGCCGATAGCTGGTATCGTGTGGGAGCAATGAATGAAAATGAGACAACTCTGTGATCACTACCAAGAAAGTGCTCAAGAATGTCGGTGGATGCTGATAATATGCCAGTGGTGATTAGGTCTGATTTGATCCTTTCTAGTTGGAGATATGACATGTTGGATCCCTCCGTGTGAGTGTAGAGAAGATAGCTGATTCGTGCATTTGGTATGTACATAGCTTGAGGTCCATGCTAGATCCGGCATGTTGAAATCCCCACCGATTACCTTATACTTGGCTGGTTGGTCCGCTAGATGACAAAACATACCTTGTAGGGCGTTAATTTCTGCGACACTGGTATTGGGGTGCATGTATATATCTCCGAGAAGTAACATGTGACCATCAACGTGTGCATTTACAAACACGGTCTTCCAAAAATTATGTGAGGGAACATCGGCCGTTGATACACACACGGCATTGTGAACGTATATGGCGCAACCACCTCCTTGCTTGAATTACGGCAGCTAATAAAACTCCTATGTGGTAGTTATACTCGGTAGTATCATCCATCAGCCACGTTTCCATCACAGTATGATTTGTGCATTAGCTAGTGCGATAAGTGAGCGTAAGAATTGAATTTTGTTTTTAACGGAGCGTGCATTAAGCAACAGAATGAGCCTGGCAAATGATTGATGGGGCAAGTTCATTATTTGTTGAAACATTACAGGGCTATCCACTGATGACGAGGTTGTATCGGTTTTGTTTTACACGAATCCGTCAATACCTAGTTTGGGATTAACGAAGGTATTTGAGAATGTATCCATGGCGTGGACGATGGATACGGGGGTGAAGATGACACTATCATTTCCACGGTTGGTGAGTTCAGGCGCAGTGACAATTTATCCCTTGTGTACTCTGGAATTGCTTGGAGTAAAAGATATTTTGAGGCATTGGGTGCAACTTGTTATTGGCCTGATATTGGGCCATCCTTACCATCTAGACAAACTGAATAAAGTGTGGGACCATGTAGTTGGTTTCTGTCGGATGCACCAGCGCTGGGAATGGCTGTGAGACCATTCCCGCTTTCACCAAAAAATGGCTGTCTGAAACTGATGGTTCATGATTGTCTTTGTGTGTATGGGGGTGAGGTACATTTATCATCATACAACACTAATCTAGTCCGAATTTGCTTCAGCTTCCGGCTTCAATGAACTGCGAGTTAGGGAATACAGTGAACAAGGACGAACACCCACGTCCCGGAACCTCAATGGAATCACTTGCTCGCTTAAAACCTGCTTTTAGTGACTCCGCCGAGAACGGCACAGTCACTGCAGGCAACGCCAGTGGAGTAAATGATGGTGCGGCGTTCCTGGTTCTCTGTCGTGGGGACCAACTCAAGAAGTGTGACAGCCTCGGTGAGTGCCGCATCTGTGAACAGGTGCTTCTTGTTTAATAGTGTATTTGTTGTTTATATTATTTGCTTTCACACTCTCGGTGAGGAAAGCTCACCATAGATGAATGGACGTTCCATAACTTGCCGCGCATTTTCGCACCAAAGCGAATGATGCTATGTTCCGTTGGTGCCATGGAAACTCATCTCACGTACCACGGGCACAATGCATGTTTAGAAACCGCTTTTTCGTTAGATAACTTACTATGCTATCAGTTTGTTTGATATGTACAAAAACAACGACTTTATATGTACTAAATTTCCCTGTACTTGGATGTACCTATTCCTGAAGCACATCTCACTCCGCATAGCATGCAGATAAGGCAGATCGCGAGTAGGACACTTGTGGCCTACTTAGCGAATCAAGGCTGTTTACAGTCGCGATTCGCAGTGTATTGCTTTGAGCATCTGGCTTGGAACCTATGTGTCCCGGGTTTGAATTCTCGCTCTTAACAGCTCGCGTCTGTAGCTGTATGACAACGAAGCATAAGTACGAAGTACTTGCGTGCTGCTGAGTCAGAGTCAGTACTCATTTCGTCGAAATATTAACCGCCATATTCCGACCCCCATGATCTGTCTGGGAACGGTGATAAGGTGGACGATGCTCCAGAGCGTATAAGAATTCGCGCAAGTAGAGAGTAATGCTCGAGAAAACTGGCACAAACATCTGACTACTGATACTTACCACATTTGTAGACACGATGTGTCGCTTCGTTCGGATCGTCGGATGGCATCAAGTCGGCCTTGAGCCACAGCTTATGGGCCTTGGACCGGTGAGTGCTATTCTTGGACTCATTGCCAAGTTAGGATGGACTTTGGACTCTGTGGATGCTTTCGAGATCAATGAGGCATTCGCTGCTCAGTCGCTTGCCGTAAGTTCATTGTCCAGCTGATGATAGTAGTAACTTTTCATGTCAATGTTCTACACAGTATTGTCGCCTATCAAACGATCCTGCTTTTTCTACAGGTCATTCATGAGTTGGGCATCCCTGCTAGTAAGGTCAACCGATGGGGCGGCGGTGTTGCTCTGGGTCACCCATTGGGATGCACTGGCGCTCGAATCTTGGTCACACTTATAAGCATCATCAGTCATTTGGGAAATCCACCTCCAAAAAAAGAACCACTTCGCGGGATTGCGGCCCTCTGTATTGGTGGGGGAATGGGAATAGCCCTGGCAATAGAATCCTTCAAATGAATGCATATTCGTACACGAGGTCACACTGGGATAATGTATGTTTTTGTATCACCATTTTTTCTCAAATAAACATAATATGCAACGCGTCCGTCATTTCTATTTCGCAGGCCACGATTCTCGTATCTTGGAATAATTCTAGCTGTTTAAATTTTGCTTCACTCTCCAGTACTCGGTATTACTTTGGCTTGATTATCTCTCGGAGTGCAGGACGTACGGATGCAACCAGAAGACATGGGACAACGTCTACCACCATGTGACCGCGTTTTCATCCAGCGTGATTTCTCTGAAGGAACCGCTGTCCGTTTCCAAACTTCTCCTATGCCACATCAGCTGCGAGGTCGCGTGAGTTCTGCTACTATTTACTTCAAATCACTTGATTTTCGTCTTCAGCTCAACCCATCTGTCTACGCGGATGCTATTGGACAGTTGAATAAATTATTTCACGAGGCTGAATCAATTTCTCCAGCCGTATGCTTGGAGAACGTGCTCGGTTGTTTGACCGCCTATCTATCCTTTTTGTGCATCCGCACGCATTACGAAAAAGTAAGCTGGGCCGTCAGCGTCTTCTATGTTTAAAACCGTCATGACTATAGTGATAAAAATGTATATGGCGTACGAATAAGAACAAAATATTTGCATTTAATTTGGATGGTAGATTTAATCATTTGATTATACTTGACCGTTTTGATCTTCACTGATGAGGACCTCTTGTGCTTTTGTTACAGATACTAAAGAAAGTGACTTTGACCGTAGAGGAGTTAAACGAGAAGCTCTTCCTTCCTAGTGGATTATTGATGATTGATCCTTCCGAACGAGGGCTCCGAGTTGTATCCTTTGCCTGACTTTGCAAATTTTTTTACTGTTAACCATCAAGTTAATAGCGACTCCGCAAGGAGGTGCCACCATTCTTTCTATCTAAAAATCCTGTCGGATTGTGTCCACTGTCACCATGCTTGGCAACAATTTAATGAAGGCCGCTTTCAACATTCACAATGAAGAAATTCAGCATCAACAACAACATCGCATGTCAATTCCACTGCCATACGCTAGAGATGCGGAATTAGGAAAGACCACCGCGCCTACATCGCATCAACAACACAAGTGCAAAGATAAGGCGGCCCCCGCTATAGTCAGTTTGGCTGCAAAGGTAACTTAGCGTCACGCACTTTAAATGAGCACTCTGGCTGGGTATCGATAACAAACGCATCGTTGATATCAGTTACGCGTCATTTTCTGTAAAGCTGCGTGCTAAATGCAATCTGGAAGGTGAGGCGTAACAACATCACCCAGTTTAACCATCCCACTCCAGTGGCCATTTTCACTCTCCTTGAATATTATGCCATCCTAGATATATGTAAAAAATCTTACTTGTTTATTCGTACTTTCTGCAACCATGACTGTATGAGGGTGATGAAGCTTCGCAGTGATCGACGTTCTCACAGGAATCCAGCCAACTCAGATTCGAAACTGAGAATGATACCTATTCTAACTTCCCCTTTGGCTGCATCACACGCATCGAATAGTGAAGGGGTAAACTAGGTAGAGCAAGTTTTATAATCCTGCGAGTTATTAGTTCGTTTCAGAGCTATAACATAGATCAACATCTAAAGTGTCCAAGTGCGACCAATTGTGTCAAAGCTGAATGTCACCTGAGAAAATCGGGTAGCGTAGCCTAATAATAAATTTGTGATTAAAGGTACCTACTTGGTATTGTGGTGATGGCCGGCGCGTGGCTTTGTAATCCGAAGGTCGCGGGTTCGAGCCTACTAGAGGACCGGGCGACCGTCGAAGTATCCTTAGCCCACGCGCGACCGGTAGTGATTGTGTAACAGCGAAGCGCCGGTACCATGTACCGACGTACTGCAGGTGCCCTGTATGGTATTTACCAAAACGTCATTGGAAATGCAGTTGCTTTCGCTAATGCTTTGGACCACGGGGTTATCAAAGCTAATGGGAGAAGCATAACCAGTCTCCTGTTTTTGCCTATCGCACCTATCGTATGCCTAGATTGGGCGATGCTTTTAAATCTTCGTTGTGGCGGATGCAGGATATAGCTAGAAATTTGACTGAAAATCGTGTTTGCACAAAGTTGGGATGCTGTCACAGCAACAGCCCTTTTATGAGAATGATTGTGGTTTTCTAACAGTCTTCTGTTCGAAAACCTGACTGCAAAGCGGAGGAGTGCCTAAATGCCACCCCACTTCTATTCCCCTAATCTTGAGAAGCAACAGGCAAGTCTTCACCGCCCACATATTAGTGGATCTCAACTCGACCATTAAAATGTGTGCCTGTAGGTTCTTGGTGGAATAGGTTCCGTCACTGCTCTGGCAGTCAAGTACTCTCCGGTTCATATTTCTCGGTATTTACAACTCCAAACCGTTCTCTAATTATACCCGAATTTTCAAACCATGTTTGCTTTTCCATATACTACAGCTTATTCTGTCTGAATACGCTCCTAATAGATCGAACTTCGCATATTACATTCGCAACCCTAAACTATGTCAGTCGGTGTAGAACGCGACTATCTCGGACACAGCAACATAAAACGCCTCATGGATGCTGGATTTCGCAACAAGCTCCAAATACGCATCCTAAATGGAACAAGTCAGGAGAGCAAAGCGATTGTCCAGAGTCAAAAACCTCAAACCCAGCGCCTTTTTGTATGAGTCTTGTATCTATTTGTTCCGAACTGCTGCTCTCACTATAACTTGTTCTTTTTGTTCTATGAGATTATGGTCATCGCTAATGTGCGATTCATTGTGGATCCTAACTACCGGTGACCATCGCCCGTCAGATAGTGAGAACCGTAGAATACTGCATCAGCTGAAATGACAGGCACTCTGTTCAATTCCAATCTAAGTTAACGAAACGCGCAGCAACTAGGACTGTATTTGTTGTAATCTAATAGCACAAATGACGTTTGGAAACGAAAGAAGGGACGAGTCAACCGTTTTCTTTTAGCACTCGTTGAGCCTTTTTCTTCTTTATATATCTCCGGATACATATCGCGCCAACGAATGTCGTGGCAAGTGTGCAATAGATAGTCTGAAACAAAAAATCGATCGAATTAACCGTTGTTTTAAAGAAAAAGTTGGTAAAAACGGTTAGCTTCAGCTGCGGAACGAAAAGAGAGCTCTGGTTTCACGTCGCTAATTACCTCAGCTGTTCTGATAAAGAGGAATCCAAGCACCAATAGGTGAATAGCTCATATATATATATATATATATATATATATATATTTGCAACAGTCTACGAACAGACGTGGAGCCATCAAAAACCATGGAACTCAACGGAAGGTACAGATATCGTAAAAAGCACGACACACTAGAGTCCATGGTTTTGTCAGGATCTCCTCTGGTTGAGGCGCATGAAGCACAGGCTAATCATATTCTTTAACGTCCTGCACAAAAAATACATGTTTCCAACCTTAACACGGCAATAACACAATCACGAATTGCACAACATAGAAAAATAAAGACAATTCGGTAGTTGAATGCAAATCGATGACCACCAGATTTTCTAACTCTCTTTTTTAATAGATATACCAGGATCTAGAACAAATTACCTTCCGAAATATCTGCTCGTAACTCAGAGCACCAATTTTTAAAAAAAACAGTAAACAGTTGACCTGGCAAAAACGTGGCACACCTATTGGGACGTCAGATAATAAATAGCCAAGCATATGAACAAGGCTCAGGATTTATATGACCCACGGACGCCGCGGATTTTTGGATCAACGTGTGCTGGATACTACTTTTACCTCAGATTACTGTGTTAGCAGCGTTTTATCTTGTGTGAATCGTGCACCATTATTCTTCTTTTGGCGTATTTTTCCAAGCGGTGCAAATTTTGGCGGCTATTCTTTGGCTAATTCCGGAGATCTCACTGATTTGTCATACTGCCATCTCTGTCCGCCATCTTGGATTTGCTCTAGCTTGTGATGCCATCTCAAGCTACTTGTGGTTCGTGTTCGAAAGTTGTGGGAAATAAGGCTCATGCACTTCGATGCTTCAGCTGTGATGTTTTGTTCCATATTTCGTGCATTGGCTTATCCGTTGACGTGTTTCGAAAATCGCTCGACATCCGACATCGGTTTTTTTCAAGTTATATGTGATAAATGTCGCTGTACAAGACATCAGAATACGCAGCGACCGCAAACAACTACGGAAAAATCTCTCTTTCAGATAGAAACAAACCGTTCACCACGTGGGATCAAACGCCCTCGTGAAAGTACCTCTGTCACCTCGCCTTCTACTGTCTCTCCGCGATCTGCACCACCACCAGCGTCTTCGACCCCGGCCGAACCCCAGGTTCAATGTTTCCCACCGACGGAAGACTCAGACTCAGAAGCTACGAAATGCCGCTTCACTGATCGGTCCGTGAATTTCTCAGAGCCTGTCTGTGAACTTCTGAACACCGAGGATCCATGGACCACTCAAAAGCGCAAGGGCCCACGTAATCGAGTTCAGACGTCACCTGCTGATAAACAACTACCCAATCAGTTAAACGCCTCTAGTTCTGCTCCCACAGGTTCATCACTGATTTCGCTGAGGCGTCATAATCTCATGGTCTTCCACGTACCGGAGTCAAAAGATGAAAACCCTCAGATACGTTATGATCACGATGTTGAGTTCCTCCAGGGGCTCATCGATAGACTCTTGGATGTGGGCGAGGACAGTGTGACGATTAAACAAGTAATCCGACTTGGCCAGAAAACTAACCAGTCATGTCGACCTCTGAGGATCACCTTTGCAAATCCTAATATGCCGCAGCTCATACTGTCTCGTCTGTCAAGGCTGAAAGGCATAAAAGTTCACATCCGCCGAGATTTGGAACCCGAGGACAGGGATCGTTTGAAGACTGCGGTCATTGAGCTCAAACGCCGTACAGAGGAAGGTGAGACTGACTTACAAGTTGTAAATTTTCGGGTGATCAAGAAGGGTGTACGAACCCGTATCAACCGGTTGCTCAACCTCCAGGCACGTCCCGCAGTACCTCCCAGGACCTCCGTGTCGCATTCGCCAACGTGTGCAGCCTAATGAACAAACGTGACGAACTGTGCCGCTTCGCTGTCTCGGAGCGGCCGGACATTTTAGGACTTGCAGAGACATGGCTGAACTCCGACATCATGCCCCAAGAAGTCGTGTTGTCAGGATACTCTTGTTTCCGATGTGACCGAAAATCAAAGGCTCACGGTGGTGTTCTGTTGTACATAAAATCGTCACTATCTGGCAAACTTATCAGTACCTATCGGAGCGAGGATAGTTTATGCGAGCAATTGTGGTGCACAATCCGTCTCAGGCGCGCAGAACTAATTGTGGGGGTTATCTACCGGAGCCCATTAAACCGTTGCTGCGATTGGATACCACATGTACAGAAGCACATGAGCCGCCCTCAGTTCTTACTGATGGGAGATCTAAATTTACCTAAGATAATTTGGCCAGATGTTCGACTTCTTCCCGGTCATGGCAACGTTGAGGCTCAATTCGCTAAAATGACCATTGAAATTGGGGCAACGCAACATGTCATCCAACCGACGCGCGTAACTCCGTACTCGGCATCTTGTCTGGACCTAATGTTTACGAGCTGCGAGCAAAAGCTAAAAGAGATCAGAGTCATCGAACCTCTGGCGAACAGTGACCACTGCTCTATTGTAGCAAGCTTAGAACTGTCGTTACCATATTACAATCAACAGAAGCCGACATTCAACTATTGGAAGACGGACTTCAACGGACTCGTCCAAGCTGCAAGTCAGACTGATTGGACACTACCACATGATGCGTCACTTGAGGCGTGGTGGTCATTAATAAAGGGGAAGCTTAACTCGCTCTGTACTCGGTTCGTTCCCCTTAAGTATCCGAAAATCGGACCTGTCAAACCGCATTGGTTTGATAGGGAATACAGACAGTTAGCGCGACGACGTCGTAAATTTTGGGATAGATACATCAGCTCGGGTTGTGATGAAGATTACGCGGTGTACAGGAAACAGCGTAACTTATGTAACGCCGCAAAGATCAAGAAACGCCGGCAGTTCGAAGAGGAGCTAGCATCCTCGGCCACAACTGCACCCAAGCGAATATTTGCCTACTTGAAACGTCAACTGAAACCTGGAGACGACCTACCGGTCTTAGAGAGCTTAGACGGGAAGACACTCATTTCAAGCGCGGAGCGCGCGGACGCCCTGGCTACGCACTTCCTCACTGTATTTTCCAGTAAACCGGCGGCTGTTCCAGTACCGGCACAGGTTGCGCAAGTCTTGCTCGACAGCCTACAATGTGATGCAGTCGAAGTACATCAGCTACTCGTCAACCTCAATGGTGCAAAGCCCCCCGGGCCAGACGGACTTCACCCACTAATACTCAAGTCCCTATCGATTATCATCTCACCAGTTGTGACAAACCTTTTCAATAGATCGCTCTCTGAAGGATCCGTCCCGAACGACTGGAAATGCTCGATAGTTAAACCGCTTCCCAAGGGTGGTGATCCGAGTAAAATAGAGAACTATAGACCGATCTGTTTGACTTCGGTATTATCCAAAGTTCTCGAGAAGGTTGTGAAAAAGTGTCTGCTGTCGTTCTTCGAATCGATGGACATATTGACGCCAGCGCAACACGGCTTTACGAAAGGGCGATCCTGCATCACCAACTTGATGTACGCAAACCACCAGTGGGTTCGAGCTCTCAATGAACAGAAGGATGTTGACGTGGTGTACATCGACTTTAGTAAGGCGTTTGACAGAGTGAACCACGAGGTACTCCTTGGCAAACTGAGGACATACGGAATCGGTGGCACGTTACTTCAGTGGATACAAGAGTTTATTGTGGGACGAAGGTTTAGAGTACAGGTCAATGACTATCTGACAGAATGGTTACCATCGACCAGTGGCGTGCCTCAAGGAACTGTACTTGGGCCAGCATTATTTCTTATTCATATCAACGATCTTCCGCAGCAGCTCCAGTCACCATGTGTCCTGTTTGCAGATGATTTGAAAATCTGGAGGATCATTAAAAACCAGGACGACTGCGCTCGCCTCCAGCAGGACTTAGAACGACTGTCAACGTGGTCCACTGAAATGCAACTCCCTCTTAACGCAAGCAAGTCGGAGTTCATCAGTATCACCAGACGTCCAGCCACTCGATCATACACCTTGGACGGCCAGTTGCTCCATCCCAACACATCTGTCAGAGACTTAGGAGTTCTCTCACGACATGATTTAAGATCACTAGAAAATACAGAGAAATTGTACCGTGCGGGACTTCGTATGCTCTGGGCATTACGACGCAGTTTCACCACATGGTCCGAAGAAACCGTCCCTCGTCTATTCACCTCGCTCATTAGACCAATCCTTGAATACGGTGCCCCAGCTTACCATCCGATAACCCAATGGGAAACTGAAAAACTGGAGAAAATACAGCATATCGCAACTAGAATGATTCCAAGTCTACGAAAGCTTCCATATGAAAAACGTTGTGAAAAGCTCGGACTCTACACACTATCCTATCGCCGAGTAAGAATTGATCTTATTATGACCCATCGAGTACTACACTTGAATCACTTCCCCATACTGCGGCCAATCTTTCACCTGCGAGAACCCTGTAACACCCGAGGACATCGTTACAAACTCAGGGTCCCCAGCATGAACAAAGTTTCACATCAGCTTTGTATCGAACGAAGAATCGTAAACTTATGGAATACACTACCAGAAGGATTAATAGAGGCCGATTCTGTGAAGTGTTTTAAATCCCGTATCGACGATTATTTTGGAAACCTGTGCTTTTGTGAAACGATGCACATACAGTGCCAAAAGAAGACATTGTATGTCCGGAAAAAATGACGCTAGTACAAATTTCTAACCGAACACGGCTAAACGATTAACGGACCAGACACAACTGCTGATAATTCACAAGTAAATTTTGATTTTTCGTAATTCGATAGAGTTGTACAGAAACCTTTCTACTTGC